ATAATATTTTAGTTGTTAGAATAAAATTGACTTGCTCACTTAAAGATTAACTTTGTCAACAAAGCTACAGGTCTAGAATGTGACTACCAGCCATGACCTACTTTTAGTTAGGAATTTTAATGTTCGGACCACCCTATGTGGTTACTTGGGTCTTTGAGTTTATAAGGTCCATCATGCAGGCCTCCATGGCACTTGTCAGGTTTAGTATGTGGCCTCTTTTTCATCCACACTATTTAAAAAGTAGAAAAATGCAGTCACAGTTTTGTCTCAGTTTCTCCACCTTTTTCCCTTTTCCGTCTGTTTAGATTTAGTGGGAACCAAGATGAGAGGCATTAAGAAGGGAGAACAGATGGAGACAACTAGAAAATCAGGAGAGGACAGGTCCCTTGGGTCTGTGAAGGGTGAGTATGAAAAGCAGCTCAGGACAGCCATATGGCCGCTGGGCTCAGTCACCAGGAAGAACTGTGATTCCTTTCACCATCTGCAGCTCAATTTGCATTCTAACTCAGCTCCTGGCCTCCTGAGAGGAAAATGCCCTGTCATGGGAACATTATAGAACATTCTAGGTGGGGTAAGATAGGGAGAGGACAGAATGTTTGCACACACCAGAGCATTAGAAAACAGACTCCCTCCTATCTAGAAAGGGAACAGGGGAGGCAGGCACAGCAAGGGAGAAGAAAAACACAGGCCTGGCTTCCAGAAGCTGATCCACAAACAGTAGGCTCTGTTACCTGTCCTGTTCTGGCTCTGGCCCCCTCCCAGAAACCCAGAGAAACCTCAATGGAAAAGTCAAGTAAGGAGATACCTGGCTCAGGGTAAGAAAAGGAAGTTTTATGAAAAGAGAAAAAGGAAAACACAATATCTCATATTGTGCAACAGGTGAAGTCCCACATTGCCCCACCACCAGGGACTCCATGCTTTTATTTATAATTCCTGGGTGAAGTACTTCTTCATTAGAGTATTCAGGTCTCATAAGCCTTCCTTGGTGATTCAGCGTCTGTGGAACTGAGTTCCTCCCTCCCAATTTGTTCAGGGTCAGGGAGGTGTGGGGAAAAAGATTCCAGTGTGAGGGAGAGCCCCTAACCCTGCCCCCTCTCTAATAGTAAAGTCAAAGACAGGTCACAGCTCTGTTCTAGACTTCATCTAATAAATGAGAGGACAGAATCTTCCAGATAGGAATCCAAGGTCCTTCCCACCCGCAGAGGGCCACAGGAGTCAAGAAGAGGCAGGCTTACCTTTGACTTGGCTGATGGGTTTTGTACCCTTGGTTAAGCCTCAGCCCTCATTCTCAGCTGCTGAAGCATCAGACCCCCTTCTTGAGATGTCTCACCTCATTATAGTCCACCACCTTGGAATATGTCTACTTCACCCTGTGTTTGTCCTAGAGGAAAGTTTATCTCACCTTCTAGAGCAGCGGTCACCAACCGGTGGTCCACAGACCCCTGGTGGTCCATCAGGTCTTAAAGGTTGGCGACTGCTGTTCTAGAGTATTCCATTACTTTTCCCACTGAACTGAAAGGAGCCATTGTTGGTGATTCTTTAGCTGGTAACAAACTGTATGAGTTTCCTATTGCTGCTATAACAAATTACCACAAATTTGATGTCCTAAAACAGCACACATTTCTTCTCTTAAAGTTCTGGAGGTCAGGACTTCTGGTCAAGATGGTGGTGTAGGTAAATGCAGTACTCGCCTCCTCCCACAACCACATCAAAATTACAAATAAACTACAGAACAACCATTACTTGAAACTTCCTGAAAGCTATCTGACTGGAATTCCTTCAGCTAGGGATTTAAAGAAGAAGCCACATTGAGACTGATAGGAGGGATAGAGATTTAGAATGGGCTGGTCCTATACACACATGCAGCAGTTTTTAACTGGGAGGGATATCTTGGCTGCAGAGGCTCCCCTGGAGAAGCGAGGGGTCCCAGCCCCACACCAGGCCCCAGTGAAGGGTTCCAGTGCCAAAAAGAGAAGTCCCCATCTTTTCTGGCTGTAAAAACCAGCAGGGAATGAGGCTGAGTGACACGGAGACTGCTGGAATCCCAGGAAGTTCCTTTTAAAGAGCCTGTGTGTGGACTTACTCCCTCTGAGCTCCAGCACTGGGGCAGCAGCTCAAAAGGCACCAGGGACATATGAGTAGGAATTGAATTGTCTGCATAAGGGCAAGAGCTGGGGAGCTAGCTTTCTCCCAGACAGAAGTGCTGGCAGAGGCCATTGGTCCTTTGATGAGCCCTCCCCGCAGAGATGGGAAGGGGGGCCATATCTGAGTCTCCATCAACCTGTGTAGTATTATTCACTTGCCCTGGTAATTTCCTGAGACCCCCCCACCCCACTCAACTTTCAGTGCCACCCAAGCTGTTTCCAGTGGTTTTTCCATACGAATGGTCTGTCGTGGCTCATGCTTCAGACTTTTCTAAAATCTCTCAAAAAAGCAGTATCTGGCCTCAGCATGCCAAATACCTTTTGCTAAACCACTTCTCAGTCCTTGGCACTCAGTTGTCATAATATGAGAAGGTTGGACAAAATGTCCTGAGAGGTTCCTCCCAGCTTAACAGACTACAATGCTATGTTCTGTGGATCAAGACTTGACTGTGCATGTAATTCTATCTCAGAACCTTGTTCTGACTCATATACTAGGAAGTTCTGATGGGTTATTAAAGAGACATGGCTTTAGGTTACTCCCACAACACTCCAGAAACAAATCTGACATTCATTCTTCTGTGTTCATGATAACACTCTACCTTTGCTTTGGACTTTAGAGAGCTGGTCCACATGATGACGCGGGGAAGTTAGACACTATGCCCATTTTAAGTAAAAAAGCTAAGGCTCAGAGAGGGAAA